CTTATTAGAGGTTCTCTGTCCCATACTTAAGTAGGGGCAGTTTAGTCCTTGTACATTTAATTAGAGCCTAATCACTATTAAGAGGTCGATTGATAGGGTTTAGCTATCAGGTTCGACAGTTCTTTCATCTTCTTCTTCTTCTCTTCTTCTTCTTCTTCTCCTTCTCTTTCTTCTTCTCCTTACTGGTTCGGACTACTGTAGCAACAGTAGAAACAGGGGTCAAGCGATGTAATTGTTTTTCTGTTTTCGGGTGGGTGTTAGCTTTAAAATCCTGATAAATTTCTGTCAGCTATACATCAAAAAAAAAAATAATGATGGATCTTTTATGAATAGTATTACCTTACCTTTTTTCAAAAAAAAAATGATGGATTTGTGGCTCTTTTATTTTCTAAAGTTCTTAGTACTTTACAATCCTTGTTTATATGACAATTAATTCCTTCTAATATAAAGTATAGATCGTTTTGCACATAGTTCTATACTTTTTCTCGTTTTAATTCATGCTTTTCTTGAGCAATCAAAAAATTTCACGGTTCTCTTGAAAGAAAATGATGTCATCTCATGAGCTTAAACCCCATGCATTGAAATATCACAGTTTCTTATCACACCTCTGCCATTCAAAACATTGCACTGAAGAAGATAAATTTTCTCCATTCCATCTCCTGATGGATACTCTATCTGGATACAAGAGGGTAGAAAGGAACCTTTGCTTTCTTCTATTGCATGTGGAATATGTAAAGTGTGTTTTAGGACCCACCAATCAATCAATTTAACTAAAGAAATTTTCTAAGCGAGGATTGAACCTCTCACAGCCCATCTCCAAATGTCACATGCAAGCAGATAGAAGTATGGCATCTCATAATCCTAACCTAAGTATATTTCATTTTCAAATTTAATGACCAAAAAGTAGGTAATAACAACAATTTACATGACAATAATCCTATCACAATCATGACCACCTTAAGCTCAAAAATTGCATCTTGGACTTCCTTGAATGAAATTGTTTCATATTTCCTCTGTTTCTCACTGTCATCAAATTCTAGAGCAGATGCTGCAAGATAAAGTAACAATAAGAACATGAGATACAAAATACTTGCACATGATGCATATTTGTTTGCTTCTACATTTAAAGGGAGGAAAAAAAAGGATTAATTTTGTCAAGTATAGCTAAGTTAATAAAGTGAATGAATGTATCTCCTGAATTTATTTTTCCCCTCTTACATATGTTGACTATGAGATCCATAAAAATGTATTTGCTTGTAAAGAAATATATTTTCCAAAGGTGGCATCTAGATGCCTCTGCTGCACATCACTCCCCCCCCCCTCCCCAACCCTGTCTCAGTGAGTGATGTTTAAATTCAGATTTTAGGGGCACTTTTCATCAGATAAGCATCCTGTGGATTTGCCATCATTTAGTGCCCCAGACCATGTCAGATCTATATCCTATCAGTTTTTAGACTATTTCCTTAGCAATGACAGCTATTGGGGTTCAAAATTTTTAATTAGAAATGTCCAAGAAAGAGATTTCTTTAGCCACACGTGTGATTCTATTCTGCTGAAAGTTTACATGAGGAGAGGGTGGATCTCATATTGGAGCCCTTTTAGGCTGGCAAGGAAGTTTATTCATGCAAGGTTTACAGGTCATGTAAGTGTGGCTGCCAAACCCATCCAAGTCTACATATATAAATGGAATTCCAGCATTCTAACTGAAATATGCTAGGACTAATAAAGAAAGGACCTTTCTCCAAGAATTTAAGGATGTCATTCCATAGTTGGGGTTCTCTAGAGCCAGGAATCTCCACCTGATGGAATTTACAAAGTTGCCTTGCAATTTCAGCAGCCAATTTTGGATTCCTCATATCTGCAAATAAAGAATAGAAAGAATCCATGTCAACAGACAAGTGCAGGTACCTATGACAGGATTTAAAAAATCCATATGATTAAGTTATTTTCTGGCTTGTTGCAAAATCTCCACCTTCTGTGTAGCATTTTATTTGGCTGACCACTGAAGGCTACACCTTCAATTCATTAATTTAAGGGAAAAGGAGGAAGTTCCAATTTACAAAATGTTTTGATGCTCTTATATCACATTTGGAAATCACTCCTCACTGATACCAACACAGACCAAAATGTAATCGCTAACAAAAATCTGAAATATATAAAAGGTTTAACGATTAACAGTTCAGCTATGTTAAACCTTACTTCCAAGACCCCAGAGAGATGGGACCAACATTGGGTAATGGCCCTTATTGGCATCAAAGATGAACAGAAATCATAAGAACAACCAATGGTTGGACTTTCAGAAGGTACCAAAACCAATATTGAGAGAAGCTTCTTCCAGTAAGATAGTGACAAACTCTAGGTGGTTTTCTACTAAGTTAACTTTCAACCCTTCAATTTAGAGAAACTTCATCATTTTTGTTATGCAAATGTAGAAAGTTTATGATGTTTACCTGATGGTGAAAGTGTACGAGCATTGATGAAGGATTGCACCATGCCATTTCCAAATACTCCAAGCAACTTGGCACCAAATCCTGCTGCTGAGAGATATCTAATGGCCTAAGCATAATATCTGATAAGTAACTCTTAAGGAGGAAAACTTAAAAAGAAAAGGATCATCCAGAAAATATCAGGCAATTTAAGTTAAAATGACATAAATACCACTAAAAAGTGGGTTTTATTAGTGAAACAAATCCAATTAAAAAATGTAGAAAAAGGTAAAAAATTACATTGACTATCTGCGGAACATGAATTATGCAGTAAATGATGTTGATAACACATCTCACCACACATATTTCCTTGTGGTTTTGACTGAGTGAATAATGTTCAAAATAGTTCTTGGACTAGTTTGCAAATATATGTTACTTATATGCTCCAAAAATATGAATAACAATGGGAACAAGATTACAGATTGTCAGCTTCAAATAGGTCTTGAAGCTCTGTAATATATTTTAATCTGGATAGATCAATACTCAAGAATTTAAGAACCATCAAGAACAAGGAGATATACCTTTAATTCCCGTTCACGATCAATCACATATTCAGTACTCGGACCGTATAGTCGAACTGTCACAGTATCATCACCACTGTATTCCCTCACAGATACCTTTAGCACTGTATGGAATAATATAATAAAAAACTGCTCAAATTCTGCCTCAATTGAAAAGATAGTTCATAGTTCGACCATATTACACTGTATGGTGCTGCAATTTATTTAGAAAAATAACAGAAATAGCAAATGAGTAACAAGTAGAAGGGTCATCTATACTTATCCATCAAAAGACCAAAACAGCAGGATTTTTGGGCAGCAACTGTTGATTTTAACCAATACACACTAATGACTTGAAGTTGGAAACAAGGAGGTAACACTTGTTTAGAATAGGAAAATAAATAATGAAAATAGAAAAAAATGTAATTTAGCACAGTATAGAGATCAAGTTCCGCTTAGCTGGCACTAAACAGACTATTCGTCCTGGAATTTAGAAAATCACCGTTACAAGTTACAAGACACAAACACACCAAAAAACATAAAAGAATAAAATAAAACAACAGAAATGCAAATTCACTTACGGAGATTAGTTATGCCACCAGAAACCGTTTCAATTGAGAAATGAGACTCATCCAACTGCGACCACTTCTTGAACATATCCTTACACAACTCTCTATTGAAAATAAACCAAAACAAAACCGTCAGAAACCTCCTTGCAAAGATTAAGCAAACAAAAGCAATGACTCCACAAGTAACAAACAATAATCGAATATAGAGAAGTATATATATGAATAGCAGTACCAAAAATAAATAAAAACCTTAGTTTTAGAAAAATATATACATCAAATACAATGCCATACAAACCCAAGTAACAGAAAATTAGAGATTAAATACAAAAGCTCAAATAGAACAACAGATTCAATTCCAATTAGCTGCTAAGCTATTAACATCAAAACAACGGCTTAAAAGGAAATTTTCGAAACAGAGAACAAGTAGAAATTAATAGTAACGAACATGATTCGAGGTTTCATTTGAGGGAGAGGGAGAGATATGTCGACTGTGAGAGACGAAGACGGAATATCTGAATTACAACTTTCTCCAACTTCCTCTGCAACTTCGATAGCGCTCCAGATCTTCACTCCTCCCATTTCCTTCTTCTTCTCCTTCTCTGTCTACGGAATCAAATCAAGCAAAGAGAAAGCTTTAGAGAGAGACTCCGTTTCTCTATTTCTGACTCTCTCTCTCTCTCTCTCTCTCGGAAATCAAATTCAAGAAAGCCAAAGCTTTGGGAGGAGATTCCTTGATAGTTGATACGAAATAAAAGGGAGGACTTCTCTTTACATTTAAAGGTCAAAATTGATGAATGTATTGACGACTATGCACCCAATGATTCCTCCAAATGACAAAATCCAACCCGACAGCGACAGAGAGAGGCCGGGGGGACTGGCCTCGGGACCCTCATCACCTGAGACGTGAGGCTGAGGTGGTCGGTTGCTTCCAGGTTCCAACGTGAAATACCGAACAAATATCAACTGAATTGTGTACAAAACTAGTAACAATTTTACACGGCAATTCGTGACGGTGGAATTGCGTCGGTTGCCTTCATCCAGTGGCGAGTAGTAATTGGTCTATTACCTTCATTTTGACATAAACGAGATCGGACCGGCGAATAGAGCGTGCACAAGCGCTTCACAGGCACATCCTATCATGCATTTAAAACATCTCCCATACTTATTACTTATTGGTTATTATTGACGGAAGATGTTCCTAGATTTCAAATCTACGCCCCATTTGCTCTCGCCTCACAAATGCCCCACATGCCCGTAGTGTGCCATCTGTCCCTTCACACGGCTTCCGCTTGTAGCGCGTGCGGGGCTAACGAAATGTCCATTAGCCCCTCCTATTACCCCCAAAACTCTCAAAACATATCATTCGAAATCTCAAAACCCTATTCCCACCTCTTCCCTCTCGAGTTCATGCAGCTGGTCCCTTGACCCCGAGTTCTCTTCTCCAGCTCGCCAGAGTTCTCGGGTCCGGCACCGGTGATCTGTAACGACAATCGGCGAGTATTTTCTAGCTCACCTTTTTCACACATTTTTTATTTTTCTTTATTTTTTCTAATATTTTCGTTTTCCAGAAATCAGAGAAATCGACGACAAAGTTCTCTTCTCCTTCTCCGGGATTGGTTGGTACTCTCCAATTCGCCTTTTTCATACATTTCTTCTTTTTTCTCTTTTTCCTGGTATTTTCGTTTTCCAGAAATCAGAGAGCGGGTAAGCATCAACTAGGGTGGTTAATGATAAGATCAAACGGTGAAACAGAAAAAAGGTGGTTAATCATAAGATCGATATAGTTGAATAATTTAACGTGGAAGGTGGAAATGGATGCATCAACTAGGGACTCCCGGCCTGTAATATTGTTCATGGAGAAGAAAGTAGATTTGATGGAAAAATCTATGATGCCGGAAAGAGATGATATCGATTGATTGGTTATAAGTTTTTCCAGCATACTTGGTTTTATTAGCTTTTCCTTTACAAAACCCAATTTTGAACTTATCCCACATTGAAAAGTTATAAGCTTTGTTTTCATATTTTAATAGGAGCTTATTTATTCCTTAGAAATAGTAGAGGAGAGTATGGGGATTTGATACCGCGCAACGCGTGCGCACATGTGCGAGCGTGTATGCATGTAATGAGGCGCATTTTGCTTGCACCCACATAGCTCATTAAAGACAACTTTGGTTTTGGTGCGATGCTGACCGTTGATCACCGTTGATGAGATCAATGGTCACCTTTCGATTGGGTGTGATCAAGAGGTACAATTCAAAGTTAACGGTCATTAACTGTTAACTACCTTTTAAATAGTCACAATGTTTGAAATTGTGACTGTTCAAGGTGCATTTTCTGAATTAGCACCTACCTTTTTTTCATACCTCTTCATAAACTATTTAAGGAGTATAAATTAGACTTCAAAAACACACATTTTTGAAATCCACTTTCTCTCCCATTCTTAGTCCAGTCTGTTACAGTCTCACAGAAGGTTTCTTCGGAGATTCTTCAACTTTGTTAGTTGCAGATTCTCGCCCAAGGCTCTATTGTATCTTGGGAACGGATTTACCTGTAATCCAACAAACTCAGTGAAATTGAGTGGAGGCAAATAATGTTCTAAAGATAATGTCTTCAGACATGCCTCAGAGCTTTTCCACAATGACCCCATTTCCCATCAGGATTCCGATCAAAGAAGTGAAAAGTTGATTCTTACACTCCTGAGGAATCCATTAAATCTCTACCATAGAAGAAAGTAAACAAGATTTGGATAGGAGATAATACGAGAAAACGTTCTCGGACAAGATCTCTGGACAATGTTTCTGAAGGTTGTTACCACTGCTATTGTGCCTTGCCTGTTTGTTTTTCTACTCATGTCCTCGACGGCCTTGGAAGATACTAGCTTTATCTATAATAGATTTCGAGGTGCCAAAATTAGCCTGGATGGTGAAGCACAGATCATACCCAACGGTCTCTTGATGCTAACGAATCAATCTAAACGACAGTTGGGCCATGCCTTCTATCCCTATCCGCTCCGCTTCAAGAATCTACCGGACGGCAATGTTTTCACATTTTCTACCACTTTGGTATTTGAGATCCTCCCCAAGTTCCAAAATTTTTATGGTCATGGAATTGCTTTCGTGATCACACCTTCAAGAGCGCTACCCGGAGCTCGACCGACCCAGTATCTAGGCATCTCCAATGAATCCAACAACGGTAATCTGTCCAATCATGTTGTTGCAGTAGAGCAAGACACCATCAAGAACAGTGAGTTCTCAGATATCAACGACAACCATGTCGGTATCGATATTAACGGCTTGACGTCTGTTTCTTTTGCCCAAGTATCGTATGCTATATCGATCAAAGTGATAACCGTAAGAATCTAAGCCTCGTAAGTGGGAAACCAATTCAAGTATGGATAGAGTACAATGGCGTAGAAGGACAGATGAATGTAACGTTGGCTCCAATTGATGTTTCTAAACCCCATATCCCCCTTCTTTCCTATTCTCGCAATCTTTCTCCGTCCATGGAGGATTCCATGTACGTTGGCTTCTGTTCATCGACGGGCTCCTTTTCTACTTCCCATTACGTGTTGGGATGGAGCTTTAAGATGAATGAACCCGCTAAAGAGCTCACCATCTCCCAACTTCCTAAGCTACCTCGACTAGGACCGAAAAAGCAATCCAAATCAGAGAGCGGGTGGGCATTTGCTCCCATACCAAATAGGTACCTGCCGGTGCCGAAGAAGGAGAAGAGAACTTTGCCCCTGGTTTTTTTTATTTCTGGAAAACGAAAATATCCGGAAAAAAAAAAAGATGAGCTGGAGAGTACCCACCGTTGCCGTTGTAGATCTCCGGTTCCGGAGAAGGAGAAGAAAATTCTGGCGAGCTGGAGAAGAGAACTCGGGGTCAGGGGACCAGTTGCACGAACTCGAGATAGGATTTTGAGATTTAGAATGATAAGAGTTTTCGGGGTTAACGGGAGGGGCTAACGGACGTCACGTTAGCCCTGCACGCGTTACAAGCGGAAGCAGTGTGAAGGCGCAGAGCGGGTGAGGCGCAGATTTAAACTCATGTTCCGTGGATGTGCCTGTGAGGCGCCCATTTGTAAGGAAGTGTCACGAGATAAATATGAATTGGGATCTGTTCCTCATATAGGGCGCCTTACAATGATTTCACAAGCACATCCATCATACATTAGGAACATCTCCCGTAAATAATAACATAAGTAGTAGAGATATTCTCAATGGACAGTGGGATGTACCTGGTGTGAGGTACTATGTGTGAATAGCAGATCAGTCTGGATAAATACTATATCCATTCTATATACTTAAAAAGGTTGCTATCCACGTCAGCTTATTCTCCCTCCTCATTTCCCAACCCCTTAAAATGGGCGGATTCAATTCTCACACAATTATTACAGCCATTTGCAGTTATGCATGGAATAATATCTAGACTATCTTTTCATTGATAGAAAGATATTCCTAATGCACAGCTGAAAAAATACCAGGATGAGCACACAATTTTGTGAGCATCAAATCCTATTTTCTTAAAATTCGGGCGTTTCACCAAATACCATCAAAAGAAAAAAACATTTAAAAAATTATGGTTACTTTGGAATATAATCAAAGTCATCTATTAATTAGTTAATAAGTTTCTGCTCATAAAAATGTTATTTCTTTAGTTCTTACGGATTTTCACTAGCGTTTTGTCAAGACCGTATTTAACTATTTACACTACTATTTTTTTTTTTTTTCTAATGAGCTGTAAAACTAGGTTTGGGTGATGTAAGTTGTGATCTTCATGAGACTGGATCTGTTCCTCACACGGGGGGCGCTTTATATGCACATCCACCGTGCATTGGGAACATCTCCCATGAATAATAATTCATAAGTACGGGAGATGTTCCCAATACATGGTAGATGTGCATGTGAAGCACCTCGTGTGAGGAGCAGATCCCGTTTTGCTCTCATGTCCCACTTATCAAATCTACTCTTCACAGGGTTCGCATCCTACCGGAAGCGTGGACGCACACTTCACCTTCTTGGTATTAATAACAAACTAACGGGTTTTGTCGTTAACATTCATTTGGTTGGTTGAACCGGTCACTATCAGACAAAAAAGCTAAAATCCCTTACATTCAGATGGTTGAAGCTTCCAAGACACAATTTTGAATTTTCCCTTCACTCTCACATTCGGATTCACCTCCCATAGTCCCACCCTCTCTCATCTGAATCTTATCCCATTACCAGATCACCGGTGGCTGACATCAATCGACATCCGATGGCAAGAAATCAACCGGCGATTGACAGTAAATTGCTCCTCCTCTTCTTCTTCTTCTTTTGTTCTCATTATTATTTTTTATTTTTCTGTTCTCTCGATAACCACATGGAGAATTTGAGTTGTATCCTCTTCAATCTTTCCTTACGATTTCTTGAGATTGCATTTTCTCTTTATTCCCCATCGGGCTTTAAGCCAGCTTTAGCTCAATGTTCTTCACTTGAAGTATTATGACCATTAACTTTAATTGTAGGTGATGAGTGTTTCACAGGAGTTTGTTCTTGAGCAGAGGCTTGCATTCTATTCTTTGCAAGGAAGGGTTTACCCTGGTTTTCAAGTTTAATGGAAAGACTGAAGTCATGCATGGACACAAATAGTCCTACCTCCCCAAAGTCTGTTCTAGATGACTAGATGTAGGGAGGTTGTGTATTCCACTTCCTCTCAAGGAAAATAATTGTGGAGAGGCCAATCAAAATGATTTTCGCAAAAATGGTTTGCATAAATTATTATGGAGAGGCCAATAAAAATGGTTTGCACAAATGATCCCATTCCACTTCCTCTCAAGGAAGACAATGAAAATGATTTGCACAAATTATTAGAATCATGGTGGTTACTGAAGGCATTTCCTAAGTGTGGCGTGACTAAGTTGAAACTGTGAAAAAGAAGATACAAGATTGATCTACCCTGATTAATTAAACAAAGGGATGATTTAAAGGTTCCAAAATTTCTTGAAGGAAGTCTGTTGATGACCGCATTTGCAAGTTTGCAACATAACACTGAATTCTGGGCTGTTTCTGTTGTGTGCAATCTCATCTAGTAATTCACAAAGAAAAACAAGTTTAGAGAA